TTTTTTTCTTCTAATTTTCGTTTGTTTTTAGTCAACTTTTTTTATATTTTAGTCTTTTTTTTTTTTTTTTAACCTTTTATAAGCATTTAGATTAAGTGAATCTAAAAAATATAAAAAATTAATTAAAATATGAAGAAAAAAGTTCCTAAATACAAATGAAAACTCATATGAAAACAGTTTTTGAAAAGTTAAACCAAATAGAGCATAATTTTTTTTGAAAATTTTTGTAAATTTTTTTTAATTTGTGTCCAAAAAACATTTCTTTTCGATTTGCTCACAAAGTCTCTCGCAATATTGTTGGTAAAATCATAGCATTTTAGTTTTAGAAGAATTTAAATAGTAAGTTCAAAATGAGGGATTTTTTTTGTATGGGAGAAAAGTGGAGATAAATAAGTGTAGTAAAATGCACGTGTGGGGACATTTCTAGTACTTATTAATACATGCATTTGTATGTGTGCATGTGTGACTTTGTGTATGTGTGTCTACATGTTAGTACATTTCTAGTTCCTATGAATGGCCAAGGTGTTATGTTTATTGACACACTTTACTCATTTTTTCATTTTGTTTCGGGTGGGTTAAGCTCTTGCAAACCAAACCAAACCAAACCTTGAGACCCATCAAATGGGGTTGACTACATGAATCCTTTTTCTCCACGCTGCCCTATTAAAGGCCATTTCGTTAGTCAAATTAAGTAGACCCGTATCTCTATTTACAACGCTAACCAACGTTAATCTAGGCCTACCTCGTCCCCTAACACTTCCATCTACCGTTACAATATCGCATCTCTTCACTACTGCATCTGTTGGTCTCCGTTGAATATGACCAAACCATCTCAATCGATTTTCTTTCAACTTATCTTCTATCGATGCTACTCCTACCCATTTCCGAATACACTCATTTCTAATTCTGTCTTGTCTAGTCTTGCGACACATTCACCTTAGCATTCTCATATCAGTCACACTCATCTTATCTACATGTTGTTTCTTGGTTGCCCAACACTCCGTTCCATACAACATCGCTGGTCTAATAGCTGTTCTATAGAACTTACCTTTAAGTCTAGTGGGTATTCGTTTATCGCACAATACCCCAGACGTAGTTCTCTACTTACACCATTCCGCCTTAATCTTATGGGCCACATCAGCATCAATCTCCTCCAATGTTGTGATAATCAACCCTAAATAACAAAAATGTTCACTCTTAGGCAGTTCTTGATTCTCAATCTTTACTTCTCCTCTGCTTTCATTATTACTGTTACTAAATTTACACTCCATGTACTCTGTTTTAGTTCTACTTATCCGGAATCCTTTAGATTCAAGAGCTTTTCTCCAAATCTCCAACTTTGTATTAACTCCTTCTCTAGTCTCATCCACTAGCACTATATCGTCTGCAAAAAGCATACACCATGGCACGTCATCCTGGATATTTTTTGTCAACTCATCCATAACTAAAGCAAAAAGATAAGGACTTAAGGTAGATCCTTGGTGTAACTCTACAGTGATAAGAAATTCATTTGTCTCTCCAGCAGGCGATCTAATAATGGTCACCAGCCCTTCATACATATCCATAATCACATCAATGTAACCTTTTGTCATCCCTTTCTTTGCTAACATCCACCATATTATATCCCGGGACACTCTATCATATGCTTTCTCAAGGTCGATAAACACCATATGAATGTCTTTTTTCTTTTCTCTACACTTTTCTATTACTCTCCTCAAAAGATAGATCGCTTCCATTGTTGACTTGGCAGGCATAAACCCAAATTGATTCTCTGACACCCCCATTATATCTCGCAATCTGCATTCTATCACCATCTCCTATACTTTCATTATATGACACATTAGCTTGATTCCTCTATAGTTGTTGCAATTCTGGACATCACCTTTATTCTTATAGATTGGCACTAAAATGCTCTTCCTCCACTCATCTGGCATGTTCCTAGTCAACGAAATTTTGCTAAACAACCTAGTCAACCAAGCAACTCCCTTTTTACCCAAACACTTCCAAGCTTCAATAGGGATATCATCTGGTCCTAAGGCCTTATTTGATTTCATCTTCTTAAGTGCAATCTCCACTTCAAAGTTCCTAATCCTGCAATAGAACCTATAGTCTTGGTTTATCGTATTACTGGCTATTTCCTCCACTATTGACGTACCTCCATGTTCCTCATTTAATAGTTTCTCAAAATAGTTCTTCCATCTTTCCTTAATCTCTTCATCCCTCACCAATACCTTAGAATCCTCACTCTTGATGCACTTAACTTGATTAAAATTTCTTATTTTCCTCTCTCGTATCTTAGCAAGTTTGTATACCCTCTTCTCTCCCTCCTTGCTATCTAGTCTAGTGTATAGATCATCATTAGCTTTCAACATAGCCGCTCTCACTACATTCTTGACCTCCGTATTAGCCAATCTATAGCTTTTAAGGTTTTCCTCAATTCTATCATTTTGCCACTTTTTAAAGCACTCTTTTTTGCCTTAACTATCGCTTGAACTTCTTCCCTCCACCACCAAGTTTCCCTAGAGCTGGGTCCCGTTCCTTTCGACTCTCCAAGCACTTCCCTTGAGATTCTCCTCATACAATTGGCCATCAAGTTTCACATAGTGTTAGCATCATCTTCCAACGCCCAAGTACCTTTCTTATCCATTCTATTCTTAAATATTTCTAATTTATCCCCTTTTAGGTCCTACCATCTCGTCCTACGACGCCCACCATCCTTCCTAGCTTGGTATTGCCCTCTAAAACATAAATCCAGTACCCAAATCCTATGTTGAGAGATCAGGCTCTCTCCAGGAATCACCCTACAATCATTGCATTTTAGGCAGTCCACTTTTCTCACTAAGAAGTAATCTATTTGGCTCTTTTAAAGGTTATTAAATGCTCCTCCCTCTTCTTATACATAGTATTGGCCACCACCAGGTCAGAAGCCAACGCAAAATCTAAAATACTCTCTCTAGTCTCATTTCTGTCACCAAAATCATATCCACCATGCACCCTTTTATAGCCTAGTTTATCTATGCCTACATGGCCATTAAAATCTCCACCTATAACCAGGTTCTCTCCTACGGGTATCTCCTATAAGATCTCATCCATTTGCTCCCAAAAATCCCTCTTAGTCTGATCATCTAATCCTACTTGAGGGGCGTATGCAGTAATAACATTCACTATATTCCCTCCAATAGCTAGTTTAACTAACATAATCCTATCCCCTTTTCTAATGACCGCCACTACATTCTCCACAAGACCCTTGGCAATTAAGATTCCTACCACATTCCTACGTCTATCCTTACCACTATAATACAGTTTAAAATCGGTATCCTCAATTTCTCTAGCCTTCTCATCCATTCACTTAGTTTCTTGTACGCAAGCTATACTAACTCTCCTCCTAATCATAACATCTATCAACTCCATCGTCTTACCAGTTAAAGTTCCTATATTCCAAGTGGCTATCCTAAACCTATAGTCTTGGACTAGTTTCTTTACCTGTGCTCGTCTAGAAAAACGCAGAAACCTTTGCCCATGAAAATGCTTGTTCATTTCAACTGAGTTTATAGAAGGATATGATATTGAAGGTAGGAAAGAATTTTCCTCGAAAATGTCTAGCTTTCTATTGTATTGGTGTATGGTAATTGGTACTTGTAATGAAAAATTGAACTTCGTTAGCTACTTTGAAAAATTGAACTTGTAATGATTTAGAAAATGGGTTTAGAAAGAGAAAACACGTCTTTTTATTATTAATGCTTTGTATTTTGATAGCGAGTTTAAGTATTTTGATTTTTTTTATACAACTACTTTTGTTTCTCACCAAAATAGGTGAGAAACAAAACAAGAGTTTTAGGAGTTTTTTATTTTTTTTATTTTTATTAAACTTATTCATATATGGACTTGTTTTGATAGAGCTTGTTTGTTTATCTACCAAATGATGAATCCAAGCATTTTGTTCCTTGCTAGTTTAGTGAGTTAGACAAATGAAAAGATCTCTGGAGAGACATTATGATTCCGTCATTCAATTATCTCAAAAATTATGCTTCGAAAATAAAATAATCATGTTACAATATGTATTAGTTACGATTTAAATTAATATTGGCGATGTGTAAAAGGTAAGACAGTAATGCTATATTTTAGATAGTATCTCCACCTCACACTTCCACGTCAACACATGTCCTACCTCAAGTGATGTAACCAGCATATAGTAATTGACCCACCTCACATGTGTCACTCGTGCGATAATTGATACCATCTTTTACATACATCTTTAAGAATTTTGTTTTCCATTTTTTATTTTTTAACACATTTCTTACATCTTAGGGGGGGTTTTTTATTTCATTTTATTTATTAAACAGGAATGAAAGTTGGAGGAAACAAAGAAAGTTGTTGGTGATGCTTGTGTGCCTGTTGTGCTGTTGGAGACTTGGAGTTCTTTTTATTTATTTATTTATTTTTCCCTTTTATTTGTTGTCATGTTGGTGTGCTTGTCATGTTTGTTGTGTTTGGATTTCCAATGACTTCTCTTTTTATTATTTATGTATAAAAGATTATTGTGTGGTTATATTACTGCTACTATTGGCTATTACTTTTTAATTGTGATGATATATATTGTTATGAACATCCATTCTATTGTCAAAATATATATTTCATTATTTTAGTTGGCTTTTTAATTGCTTAGTTGTTTAGTTTGATTAAAAAGGTTGTATTTGGAATGATAATTGGCTTTTTTTTTTTAATTGATTTGATGCTTGTAAGAGCAAAAGTTAAATAATTATAATTTAGATGTGACATTTTATCTTATTAATTATTTTATATTTATTTTGCCTTTATTAACTATTTTAACAAAAAAAACCTCCCAGCCCAACTTCCGAAACACTGCTTATGGGGTGGTTAATAAGAAAGGCGATAAGGAGAGTCACTTGATGGTTGAGTTAAGCTCCTCCATGAGGTCAAGGAGCACAAAGGCAAATAGAGCATGTTGCAAAGAATTGGGTGGTTCACTGGTTGAACGGTTAAAACTTGACATTTTTGTAGACAAAGAAAATATTGGCCCAAAATCCACCACCACCATCACCACTACCAATAAGACCGTCACGGTCATTGCCACCGCCACAAACAAAAGCCCTCTCTTCCATTACTGCCAAGCTTTGATGGAATCGAACTATAACAAATGATCAGAGTATTTAATTGCCAGTAAAGTGAGGTCTAAAATTTGAATCAATATAATAGCTAGTGTCAAACCTATTAACATCTTATCATGTGACACAAAAGATTTAAAAGAGAGTTTCCCCTATTTTTTTCTCTCTCAATTATGGGGCTACATTTTGGGCATTAAACTTGGTATTCACATCTCATCCATCTTGTACTATGAAAATGCTTAGCCAAAAGATACACTAACATCACAATCTTATTTTTTGATATTAAAAGCCAAACCAACTTCCATAATAGACATAACAAAATATTACTAGTTAACTACCCCGAAGGACAGTTTTAGCAAAAACATGAGTTGGCTTGACTACCTACTGACTTACCTTACATATATTTACATAATCAAAAGCATTAAGTAAAGATCAAATCTTCAAAATTAGCGGTTTCAAAGCCCAATCTCATGATGATGTACCATAAAGCTGTTCGACCAACCATAAGCAATCTGTGAAAATTTGAAGTACCTCACATTGAGGGAACCACGTAAAATTCTTGTATCATTATTGATTTAATTTTTTCGCATTAGTTTTTATTCCTATTCATTGATTTACTTGTGGAAAATCATCTATTTTCCCTAACAACTGGTCTCAGAGCTTACGGTTTATTTGGATATATTTATTTGTGTAAATCAATGAAGGAGAATGTGGGTCGTATGTATAGTTTCAATGGAAGCAATTGGGTAACAAGGAAAACTAAATGGAGAACCTATTATTTTGTAAAGATTTGTATGGGCCTACTGAGGGTGATAGTGGCAAACCCAAGGGTATGAAAGATGATGAATGGAAGAGGCTTAAACGAAAAGCCGTTGGTGTTATCCGTCAATGGATTGATGATAGTGTGTTTCATCATGTTGCTACTGAAATTTCGGCACATGATTTATGAAAAAAATTAGAAAGTCTTTATGATAGAAAATCAGTCACAAATAAAGCTTTTTTGTTTCGAAAGTTGGTTAATTTAAAATATAAAGATGGCAGCCCTATCTTGGAACATTTGAATGAAATAAAGAGTATTGTTAACCAACTTGCTTCTATAAAAATTGTTTTTGATGATGAGTTGCAGGCTTTGATGCTACTTAGTTCTCTACTCGAAATTTGGGAGACTTTGGTTTTGATGGTTAGTAATTCGGCGCCTGATGGAATTATCATAATGAGCCAAGTCACTATTAGCTTGTCGAATGAAGAAACTAGAAGAAAATCATAAGGTTCTTCTCATTCAGAGGCATTTGTTGTGAGAGGCCAAAGCAAAACAAGGGGAAGGAGTAAGACTCCTCATGGTCGTGATCAAAGCCGTGACAAATCAAGGGATGATTCTTTTTCAAAGAAAGACATTGAGTGCTATTATTGCCATGAGAAAGGGCATATGAAGCGGGAATGCCAAAAGCCCAAGATTTAACAATATATTTATATATATGGTTTTTGTTCTTCTATATATCTGGTGGTTATAATTGTTTTATCTTCTTGGTGCGTGCAGCTACTACATGGTATTGGTGATCAATTTCGGTGGGTGCTGTTTTGCTACAGAGGCTTGGAAGTTTTGTTTGGGTGCATATTTAACTGCTTGAGTGGAGATTGATTTGGGTCTATTACTTTGGGTTTCTACAATCTGTTTTGAAGACTTTTATTCGTCTATTTGGTGAGATCTTTCCTCTTGATTATTTGTGATTATTTGGAATTCACCTAAGGGTGGTTTGTGAGACCATTCATGTCTCGTTTGTAATCGCTTGGAAACTTTTTGGTTGATAGTGGAATCGGATTTCGATCCCAGGGATGTACCTCACATTGAGGGAACCACGTAAAATTCTTGTGTCGTTGTTGATTTAATTTTTCCGCATTAGTTTTTATTCCCATTGATTGATTTACTTGTGGGAAATCATTTATTTTTCCTAACAAACTTGACACCATCGGAACACAATGTTATTAGGACAACACACCAACGCCACAACAAGCTACAAGAGGAAATACAAAATAGATCAAAAACATTATTAACATTAATTCCATCACAAAAAAATATAAATCCAATCACTTGGAATTCTTTGGCAGCGGTGTGTTTGCAAAAATATATGGGACACGAGTAAACTTTCATATATTCTAGGCCTCGCGATCTCGAGGATGGGCATTGCATCAGATATCTCTTTTAAATCATCTTCTATGAGCTTCACTCTCAAGGCACCAATATTCTCATCAAGGTTTTTAATCTTAGTTGTTCCTACAAATGTAAAATGTGAGGTTAAATACAACTTAACCAATTGAAATACAACATTTAGGAGCATATTTGGAATTTTTGGTTTGGTTTTCAAAACTTATTTTTAAAAAAATACTGAACACTAGAAGAGTACGATTATGGTTGGCAAAAGGTTTCATACAACAAGCAAGTGGAGAAGCTTTAGAGGATACGGTTGCAGAATATTTAAATGAGCTGATTGACAGAAATTTGATTCAAGTAGCTAAAAGAAACTGGAGGAGAATTAGAAGTTGCCGAGCGCATGATCTTCTTTGAGATTTTGCAATTGAAAAGTTGAAGGAGTTAAATTTCTTATGATGGAAATGTTTATTCCGCACTATCTCCCTGCAAACATCGAAGACTAGCTTCTCGTAGCTGTGGATTAAAAATGTTTGAATCCTTTGATCATTCATCAAATTTGCCTTTATGAACCCTTTTGTTCTTCAACTTGGAAAATGAATCCGCCAAAATAGGAGAGATACAAAAAATTGAGATTGTTGAGAGTTAGATCTTGAAAAAAGTAGGTTCTACCCTTTCAAAGAAATCTTCTTTGATGCAATAGAGAAGTTCTTTCACTTGAGGTACTTCAGGATAAGTGAGTCCAAAATAAATGAGATTCCACCATCCATAGGTAACTTGCAAACCCAACAAACCCTAGAATATTTCAATATGGGTTACCCATATATGTTATCAGGTAATATGGATCACCCAATTATGTCACCAGATGAGATATGCAATGCAAAGTAGTTGAGACATTTAATTGGATGCTTTAAGTGGCCTTTCCCAGTTGGAAAACCTAACAAACCTTCAAACTCTAAACTACATTGTTGTTGGTGACCGGATTTAGTTGGGAGATTTGAAAAGGGATTTGGAAAAGGAAGATGTAGGTGAAATGTAAATAAAATATACCTACATTTCACATAATTTCACACACATTTTCCATTTCCCTTCCCAAATCCTTCAACCAAACACAGCCTAAGGGATTTAATTAATCTCAGTGAGCTTCACGTAGTGTTTAATGGAGAAAGCAAGGGGCTCACTCTAGACTCTATTGGTAGATTAAGAAGCCACCAAACATTATGTTTGCGTGTGTTTAGGGACACTGTTTGGAATCCTACACTACA